AAGTACTCATTCACAGTTTTGAACCAAAAGTCTCCGGACACGTGCCGCCGAGTGATAAGCAACCAAAAAAATCGTCTCTGAGTAAATAACAGTTGTGAAATCCATGCCAGACCTTTCTCTGCACAACCCACGATTTAAAGCAGTCCTGGGTGTCTTAATTACTACTGTTACTTGCTTTCAAAAGACAAAAAAAATTACTTACCCAGTGCAGCAAACAGCAGGGCCGCTCTGAAAAGCCACATTTCGGCAGACTAGGTAAGTTGAATCAAAACCTCTCTGCAGACATGTGAGCTGGGATGTTTTAGGAGAGCAGAATGATGCAGAATATGTGTGTGTGTCTCTATAAAAGCATATCAACTGTGGCTGTATTTAAGCACTGTACAGCATCATCTTCTGCGACAGTTTGTGATCGGCCTGCTTGTTTACACTGGCTCGTGAGGTGAGGGAGAGCAGGAAAGAAGAGACACAAGTAGTCTTGTATAGTTGGAGATGGCATACATCTGCTCCTGTAAAAATAGAGGTGGAGGTGGAAAAAAACGGGGAACAACTTGAAGTTTCCCCCCTGAGAGATTCATGTTTTCACGAAGGCTGAATCTTGCTTCTTCATTCTGTATTCATTTGACAATTAACTGGAATTTAAATTCTTATAGATTAAATGTGTTGCCGAAAAAAGTTTATTTGCATGGACAAAAAAAAAAAAGCCTTAGTGAAGATTTCTCTAAAGGTTACATTCTCAGTTGTTTTTATTTGTATTTAGAAATTGTATGCAAAGTAAAAAAAAAAGAAAGAAAAAAAATTCAAACTTGAGAAGTTTTTAAAGCTCAGATTCTTCATCTTGCAGAAACAACCATTTATATGGACATAATTTATGGCAAATATAATAAAAGAACAAAATAGTTCAACACATATATTTGTTCAATTTCCAACTCTGCTTATTGCCTATGGCAGTATTTCTCAAACTTTTTCATGCCAAGAACCACTTACCCCATTTAGCAAACATCCTAACGGACATCCTAATTTAAAACTGCCCCCACAATAGCACATCTTAATACATTTAATCTGAAATGAAAATATAAGTTTCTTAACTCATTATCTTTGTTCATCCTAAAGTGAAAGTTGGCATGACCCATTACTCGGGGCGTTTTGAGTTATTAAAGGTTGTGAAAGTGTAAATTTTAAGCTTTCCAATAATGGAAAACGCATGGAAATCCAAAAGAAAGCTCTGTCCTACAAGTGTTGTCTGCACTAATAAGGTCTTATTTGTAATTTAGAAGCATTATAAAAGAAAAATAGATTTGAGAGGTTTTGGAAAAAGCCCATATATAACTGTAAATAATTTTATTTTAGGTGTTAAGATGCAGTTAGTCAGCGTGGGGCGCAGCGTTGTTCACCGCCTCGTCACGAGGCGATCTTTTGGTAAGCTAGCTGTAGCGTTGAGCTTACGTCACTGCAAATAAACTACTGCTTACATGCAGCACTTGGTGCCCACTGGGGGGGCCACAGTTTGAGAAAGACTGACCTATGGGCTCCCAGGAAGGAAATACAAGGAGTAAACATTTATAAGAAAATGTTGCAAGTTGTACACAGAGCTCTGTACTTACGGTGCCATGCAAAAGGCTTTTCCCCATTTTGTCATGTTTGTCACATATTTCACCAGGATGTTCTGTAACACAAAGAAGTGCATAACTGTGAAGTGGGCCAAACATTAGTAATGAATTTCAAACGTTTTTGAAACAACCTGAAAAACTTAGTGTGATTCAGTAGCCTGGCTCAGTACTTTGTAGAGCCACCTTTCACTGCAATTACAATAGCCAGTCTTTTCATTTATGTCTTTATCAGCATTAAACATCTACAGACTAAAATTTCACTTGAAACGCAAATGTTTCAAGTGAAGTTAGACGTTCATCCATTAATGACGTGGTTTCGGGCAAAAAACACTGTGTTATTGAGTAAGTAAAGAAATGTTTTCTGTCATATTTGGGATTGTTTATTGTGAATCAAATTAATTTACCCAAACACCACAGGGTGACGATTGGACTACTCCTTGTCCTCTGCACTGTGTACAGTTATGGTAAATAAAAAAAGAGAAAATATAAAATAAATTATTCTTCTTGACTACATTTAGAGTTCATTACTGTATTCAATCGTACACATTTAACGTTGAGAGAAATTGCACCTTGTCGTTTGTTAAAAACGTGACACCTTTTATGTGAAAGTCTGGTATTTGGGCAGCCTTTGATTTTACACTTTTCAAGGGAAGTAGAAATGTGAGCAGATGAGAAATACACAGGAGAAACCAGGAGAAACAGAGCAGAGAGAATTGTCTTTGGTCCAAAGTTTATTCTCTGAACAACGAAGCTGTCATTTTGGTGTTTTTGTCATGCTTTACATAAAAATGCTTACAATTCACATAGGCTTCGGAATTTTGGCTCACTAATGCTTGCCACCCCATCTGTGCTTGAATTTTTATGGAAATACAAAAATTCAGTCTCTAGATGTATAAAACTGGAAAAGACAATTGTAAATGTGAAGACCGCTTCAAAGTGAGGTCCCGGACTGTAGCGCAGGGCATTCTGGGTAAATACTGTGCTATCCTCACAACACGTGACAATTTGTAGCTATAGACAGCCACAAAAAAACTAATAAAATGTCTCCAAGGAAGGCTTGCTCTTCTTAACTGATCTTTTATAATTTATTGTTGTAACTGACATACAACAGAAAGGAAACATACATTACTAACTGATACACTCACCTGAATGCTACACTTAAAAATTGTGAACACTGCTCTACATTTTAATAACCACATAAAATACAACAAATGTTTTCCAAACATATAAATACTTACAGAGATGAAAGTTCTCCGAGGTTCAAAGCGTGTAAAGTGCATCCAGCATGTTCACGAGCTGTTTACTTTCCCCTAACTGCCTAAATTCTCGTTGACATGGTTACAGGGTTCCGCAATCACAATGTGACAAAGATTGTTTAAAACAAAGATGTCACACTCTGATCAAATTTCAAACCCGAATTACTTTAACCACTCTTAGCATGAATTTATTCATGCAATTTCTTAACTTATTCATGTAACAAATGTGCTAGTCCAGCACTAGAGCCGGGGGAAAAAAATGGATTTGTGATACATTGGAAAATGCCCTCCCTGACACAGATTTCCCTGAAAATCAGTGGAATTCTGCAGCTTCTGCTCAGGAATAGCGTTGTGTGTATCGTCTGACGGTCTTTCCGAGCAACAGAGCCAGGGGGTTCGAACCAGCAGATGATGAACTCCTACCACCATCACCACCGTCAGTGTGAAGTTAATGTACAAATGAAGTTCAGCATGACCGAAGGGATTATTTGAATCAAACATCCTGAACTCTCCTCAGACCAGCTTTAGGAAGAACAGCCCTACTGCTTCTGCTCTAAAAGTTCTCAGTGACGTGTTCAAGGCATTTCGTTTGAAAAGGTTTTGTGTTGCTCTATCTGTCATCTGATCCCACAGATAACAGTGAGACATTCTGCTTCATAAAAACTACTTTGTGCGTGCGTGCGCGCGCGCGTGTCTTTGTGTGTGTCATTAAAGTTGTACCTCAAGGCTCATTCTTAGGACCCGTCTTGTTCACAATCTGCGTTTCTGATCTGTGTGCAAGCTTCTCAGATCCCTTGTACCATTTTCATGCAGATGATTCTGTCATTGTCACTCAAATCAAACAGGTATTTGAATGTCTGCTATCTGCTGTTGATGCAGAGCAGTCATCTCATGCAACCACATCTGGTTTTAAATGGTGTAAAATCCATGCTAATGCATTTTTCACATTCATCCATCTGATATGTGGTTTTTGCTATTGGGGAAACGCTTTGGTTATTCAGCAAACTAATTATGAGGATCACATGAAAGCTTTGATCATATGGACTAAGGTTACTTGTACTCCCACTTGTAAATAAGGTGATGTTGTAGTCATGTCAAATGTTACAGCAAATGTTAATTACAATAAAATAAATCCTTATCCTGTATAAATAATGCGGTCTGGCAGCTATGTTGCTGCTACGAGAGAAATTTGACCAAACTGTTTCGTTATAGGTGCTTTTCACCTCATACAATTGTGAAGTGGTTTTAAAACAGCTTGTATGAGTTTAGTTGGGAGCTGTTAAGTGTTTCTAGAATGAACTGGTTAAATTTCAATTGTATTTGATCAGAAATTAGTTAATAATTGTTATGAACTCCACAAACATCTTTTAGTTTACAAAATATTGACTCTTATTTTCATTATTTTGATGACTGCTCCTCCTGACTGTCAAGAAAAGGGATATTGTTGTTGTGTCTTTCCTAACACTTCCTGCAGGTATCCACCAGAGGGCGCCAAGGAGAACCAGCTACAGGGATCAGGACTCATCTCCAGCAGGTGTGAGGACAAAACGCAGCTTATACACTACATTGCTTTATCAGACTTTACCAGAAATAATCAACTATTGCGATCTTGTGGATTTTTAATTCTGATAGTTGTAGTTGAGCAAACATGAATGAGGAAATTGGAGTTTAACCTTTTCGTAGTAAAATCAGATAACATTTATCAGGCAATTATCTTTATATTATGATGTAATTTATGGTCAGAAGAGGCGATTTGTCAAAGGGTTTATTGAGACGAGGAGTCATGGGATGGCGTGTGGTAGAAATGACTGGCTGAGACAATTTGTGTGTTGTTGTGAAAGACTTAGTTTGGTTCAATTGAACCTGCATAAATGAGTTGAAATTGATTAGTACTGAAGCTTATAGATAAGGAGTAGGAAAAAAATGTCCGTCATTAATGGTGTAAACGTCTCAAAAATGAATTCACTTTTCATCTTAAAGGAATTATTTTTCAAACAGTGCTGATGCTCTTTTTCTGATCTTTGGCTAATTAGGAAAATAAGCATTTTGAGCCTTTTAAAAAAAAAAAAACCTTTACTGCCTCATTTTCGTCACTCTTCAAATTATCCTCTTTCTTTGACAGGCAGGAAGGAAGAAATACAATTCTGAAAAACTTTATTCAAAAACTTTAAGCATTGACAACATCTTAAAACGTAGTTCACAAACAACAGTACCCCTTGCCCAAATGAATAATACATGTGACATTCCTACAAAAGCAGGCATACCAACAACTAGTTTATAAATATTTATAGCCTCAACTGATTCTTCCAAAAAAAAAAAAAAACCATGAAGATCTTCATTTGCACATAACATTTATACAGATATGCACATTCTTTGCCCAGTCACCACTGCAACATTTGATGGGTGACATTTCACATTCACAGTTTTACAAAAGCAGGACCCGTGTGTCTCCACTGACGACGACTTGAGGTGAAAATGGGGCTCTGGTTTTATAAAGAGGCTGCAGACGGCAGCAGGAAGGCAGCAGCAAACATCAGGCACAGCGAGAAGATTTCTGGCAGCACCAGCTGTCCTGCAGAAGCTCCTGTAGAAATCATACAGGAAAATGCAGTGCAGATTATTCAGGAGTGAGAATCACTTAGAGTGGCGCTGCAATTTTTTTTTTTTTTTTTTTTGAGACAATGATTCTATCTTTTTAAAACCAGATTGTGTACAGACAGGTTTCACAGTTTACATTTCCATGATTCCACATTTTTCTCAGAGTTGTATGGTTTAGATTAACGAGGAAACACTTTGGCTAAAAATTCTGCAAATTCAGCAAGTTTATTACAACTATAAAGTCCTTAGATTTTTTTTTTCTCCACAAAAATCTAAATATCTGACTTTAGAAGATGTCTAATTACTCTTTTTAAATAAATGTGGAGGTAAAAGTGGAACCCAAGTGGTACTATAGGAGGTACTTACTTGTACATGTGGTACTTTCTTTAAACGGGCCCATCAGCTCACTGGTTTTGACAGAACTTAGAAGAGTTGTGCTGACATCCCCTTTAAAGTACACAGAATCAGACAAAATGTTACTGAGGCATTTGTTGGAAATTTTCACTGTACTGATAAAATTGAATTGAATTGGAATGAATTGAATTAATTAGCTGTCCTGTGCTGCACTGTGTAAACCCTCTGTACAGACGCCGCTCTGTTTCCCCCCGGCGAAAGAGGAATGGGCTGAAAATGAGACGCACCAGACACTCAACTCCGGCGTCGGGTTACTGAGCGGGTTTTGGAGGATTTCTAAAGATATTCAATGCCAGTGATTGTTCATTGTCCCGATTTTGGGACTTACAAGCTTCCCAGTTTTAGTGTGGTAGCTTTGAGCACTAATGGGGCCATACCGGCAACTTAAATTTGAAAGTAAGTAGAGCATACATCATCCTGAAAGCTGCCATTTTCCTAGCTACAATTTACTTCGATTGTTGGTGTCAATTTCTTCCATCTACTTTTACTGCTCGTGTTGTTGTTTTCAGATCAGACAGGTTCCAGAGGTAAAACCCTTTTTGTTTTTAACGGCGACTAATTGCTTGACGAAATACCATCACAACAACTTGAATCCAATGGGTCGGAACATGTTGACGTCGTTACATCACTGAATCAATACTAACCTGCAGCAAATATGAGCTGCAATGTTTCCCCACAGTTGGTAACCGTAACAACATCAAGCTGTAAACATCTGAGATGCATTTTGACTGTGTTACACGTGCAGTCTGAGAATACGGCGGCATTAGAGGACCTTCTGTGGCCTCACATATTCTCACATTACAACCACACCCTTCAATGCATCTGATTGGGATTTTTATCTGATCAACAAGTGCTGCATGGCTGTAAAGTGGAAGAAAAATGATGGTGGTGGTTGTTTTCCGATATCTCGCCAAGTAAAAAGGATGAGGTCGTGTGTGAGAAATGTACAGCATTAATTGGAAAAGCAGCCAAAATATTCATAGCAAGTCTGGATTAGTTGCAGACATCTACAGCTTAAGTGTGTTGACAAAACAACTACAGGCTATGCACTCCACAAATCTGGCTCTATGGAAGCGCAACCCTGACAGAAAGCCTCAAGTTTGAAATCAACAAGCCAATTAGCAGACAGAGCAAACAAATGGATGTCACACTTTCTTTGTATTTGTAAAATAGCTTAAAAGCTACCAATCTTCCTTCCACTTCATTGTCATGCATGACTTTGTGGTGGTTTATCACATAAAATCTCAGTTAAATTTATAGTCGTAACATAATAAAATCTCAAACGGTTTAAGGGGTGTTGATACTTTTGTAGGAGGAATTATTTCTGGCCTGTTGACTTATTTAAATAACTTGTCTGATAGTCGTTGGTGTGTTGCAAGTACAACACAAAGAAGATACTGTGTTTTTGGACACTAATGTCGTTTTCCTCCTTACCCGACACCATGAAGTTGACTGTTTGGCACTGGCCGTTTTCTGTAATGCTTGTAGAGCCGGGCAAGATGGTTATCCTCGCCATTTCTGCCTGCAGAACATTTGCGACTCTCCTTCGGAAATCATACCTGGGTATAAATAGAAATGAATAACTTTTAGTCTTGTGAGAGCAAATAACCAAATTCAGACCAAAAAAATCCTCCTTGACTGTTCAGTTCTTCTCAAAACTCAACCAAAAACTCAACCAAACATAGCAACGGTTTAACCCATAAATGTGTGTTTGTACCAACATAATGACACTGATCCCTTTTGTTTCCAGATTACCACTTTTTGCTTGCAATAAAAATACTAATAAAGTTGCATATTGCACAACATCTATCTCTGCATACTTCCCGATTTAACTCGGTTCTTGTCTGAAGGAAACCTAACTTTGTCTCTCCAGCTGTAACAGAACAAGAGATTCAAACTGGAACTCAAGACAATAACAAAATCTTTCAAACAATGCAATTTAGGAGTAAGGCATAAAACTCGCAATATGTTAGATAATTTCTAAATGAATTTAAATAGACAGAATGAGTGTTTTTATAAATAATCCTGTTTTTACCAGGTGAATTCTTATAGAAATCAGGATAGTTTGTTACTCACCGGCTAAAGGAGCTCACATTGGGAAAGGTCTGCTCTGCGAACTGGGATTCTGGGAGGATGTCGGCACACGCAAGGATGCTGTTACCACTCTTCAACACAAGAGACCTGTAGACAACTTGGATCAAATATAGAATATCAAGTCAGACATTTTACTAAACTCAACAAAATGAATAAAAGCTAGTGGAAGATGACATGGTGAATGGCAGAAAAGGATTGTTGTACATGTACATGTCTGTTGACACTGATTTCCAGTCGTCTCACCTGTGTGGTCTCCTGACAGCTGGATGTTGCTGTCAGAGTAAACTTCTCTCCCAACCAGGCTGACATTGCCTTGTCTTTCAGAAAACTCCCCCACCACACAGCTCAGCTGGTTTTGGAGCGAACAGCTGGAGCTCTGGAAGAGGAATAGAAATTACAAAGTTGAATATACAATTACCACGAAAAAAAGAGCCATCCACCATGGGATTAGACAACAAGTACCTGTAGTCCGAGATTACAGGTACTCACCGTACCTGTCATCAGTACTATAAAAATACTTTATATGCTTTATTTCCACAGTTTGATGTAAGAAATTTTTCTCTTTACAAAAAAAAAAAACAATCAAAAAAAAAACAGTGTCCTTTGAAGTGATTGAAGTATTTCTTATAAGATAGGATAAAAACTGGAATGCTCTTAGTTTGCTGCTGTTTCTGTTGGGATTTGGGTTTTTTCCTGTGTTCTGTTCCCTGTGGGTCTCTGTGGTGTCCTGTCTCTTCTCATTGATTGTTTCCTAGGTGTGTCTTGTTCTCAGATTACCCTCCCTGTGTATTTAAGTCCACCTGTTGCCTTTGTCTCTTGTCGGTTCCTTGTCAATAGTCGTATGTCACGGTTGTACTGGGAAGTCGAGAAGCTCTCATTTGTCAGTTCTTAGATCAGTTGCTGCCGGTGCTGAGCCTTGTTCTCTTCTCTGCTGTGCTGCCAGTTTCGTGGACTGTTCTGAGCTAAATTCTCGTCATTAATAACATCTTTTCATCTGCATCCTGGGTCTGCCTGCGTTCTACTCACCACCAACACCGCACCTCATGACAGTTTCTTTAAGCAGGGGGTCATTTTAGGCTAAAGTGTTCCTCAAATTATCCTCAGATTGAATTTATTTACATCTGTGTCCCCATTCCCAATCATACCTGTCAATTCTCCCGTTTTGGGTGGGAAACTACCGATTTTTGTCCCCTTTTCCACCGTGCTCGTGCTCCCGTAATATTATTTTCCCATAAATATTCCGCATTATGGGCCCCCCCACTCTTACGTTAGTGCCTCTTCCCATCGGTCTCACGTTAGTTTCAGTTAGTTTCAAAGCAGCACCGGACGGCGACATTTCCCTTATATTCTCAAAGTCAAACTTGACAGGTAATGTCCCCAACAGCCTGCCTCACCTGTGGTTTCATGTTGAAGGGGTTGAAAGTGTCTCCCACGCTGGTGCACAGGCCGCTGGTGGCATTCATTCGGTTGCTTGCGATAAACAGGGAGGCCTTGGGAATCTGTAAGCACGTTTAAAAGATAAACTATGTTTCCGCTGCCTTTATTTGTCGCATTGATGGACATAAATACAAATACACAAATGATTAGGAATAGCAAACAGACACCTAGATACTCCGATCAGTAGTATCAATAACTTGCAGACTATTTGGTGTCTTATACTGTCGCCCCTGAAAATGCCTAAGGAAGTTTTGTTATCAAAGGATTTTGACATTTTTTGTGCATTTCTGAAACTTTCAGTCCCTGACATTAAAGATAGCGGTAGCAGAAATTTGTCACCTTGACTAGTTGATTAGTCTGGGGTATACAAGCACTACTAATCCATCTACAAGAAGTTAAAGTGACGACACAAACAGCACCAACTACCTATTTTCATTCATACATGTAAGAACTGTGTTTAACCCTATTACCCTTTACTTACACTTTGACTTGCAGGTGACTTAAGGTCCACATTCAGTGTGACATCACTGCTACTCCCATCAGGAAACATCTGCTGGCGCTTGAAGGGACAGAAACCAAAGGTGCCTGACATTAGTAGACATACAGATTATTGCCAACTGAATAAAGTGATTTATACAGAGAAACTCATTTGATGTGTGAATATCTGTTTTCTTTTTAGTAACTGCTGAGGCACTTCCCAAATTATTTGGCCAGTCCAGAATAACCTCATGTTGTCGTTTCCTCCTTTATAGCTCTGTGGAGGCTTAGGTGTAAAGCAAGACTCAGTGTGGAGCCTCTGGATGGCAGCTGACAGAAACAGCTGATATCAGGGTGAGCCTCAGAGTTTAGTGAACATACATTCACAGTTATGCTAAGCTAAGCTGAAGCCATGCTTCCCATGTTTCCTGTCTGTTTCCTGCCTCTTTACCGTCAGGACGCTCTTTGAGTGCCTGCTATTGTCGTCCCCTCATTATCAGCCTTCTAAATTTTGCACCAGTGAATTTAGATACATTCCTCTGTACATATGGTGCAGTGGTATCTCTATTTTCTTCACAGAAGAGGCAGGCTAATGCAATTTACATATTACTTACATAAGCTACAATATATACTGTAGTTTCGGATTAAAAGGTGATAAATTCAAGTGTGTATTCGCACACTTTATTACCACAGAACATCTCTTATCCCTGTTTCGGGCCTAAAACCACGTGAGCCACAGCTTGCACATTTTTCTTTTGTGGTGCAGAAAAAAAAACAACAACTAAATGCCCGTACAATACGGTTTTGGCTTTGGTTCTCAAACCAAAGACAATACAGAATTGTCTGAAATCAGACAATGTTGGCATCCTGCAGCAAACAAGTAGCAGATCAGATAAAGGTAATTATGTGTTTTTTACCAGTGTGATTGTCCCAGTCACTACTCCATTAAATGTAGCCTTGGCAAGTGTCCATTGTCCTTTTGTATTTGTGTCTGATAAGACATCTGTACACACCATCCTGTAGAGAAAACACAAACACCTTCATGAGATGGGCTCGAAATAACCAAGCCCAGCAGGTCCAATCCTGTTGGATTTTTTTGTTACAATATTCTGGTTAGTAATCTTCTCTAAAAGAGGAACATACAGTATCTTAGTATTGTAACACAAAACACCCATGATTAAAAGATCATGGCTTGAGGANTGGCTAAAGGTAATCCTGACAGAAAGCCTCAGGTCTGCAGTCAACAAGCCAATCAGTAAGCAGAGCAAACGTGTGGAAGAAGATGCTCTGGTCAGGAGACACTAAAGGGATTTTGATGTGGAGGCTAACACTCCACATCGCGTCACCCTGAGTGTAACCTGTCAACTGTGAAACATGGTGTTGGCAGCATCATGTTCTAGGGAGGCTTTTCTTTAGCTGGTCGCACGAGAAGGTGGATGGAGCAAAACACGGCGTAATCCTGGAAGTTAACCTGTTGGCGACTGCAAAAGACCTGAAACTGGGGCACGAAAAACCAGTGGTACAACTGAAAGTGCATGGAATGAAAAACCAGACCTAAATATAGATCTGATCTGGTCTTTGACTGCTTGGAGATAAAAGCTTATGTCTGGATGGTTGATGGGGGAAATCACCTCCAACAGGTGTATAGCTAGAGGTCATGAGAAGTTCCTTTTGTTTCTCTCAGAAGAGCAGAAAACGGAAATACATTAGAATCTCATATGTCAGTCTGGCTGTTAGCCAAGTGTGTTTTCTCGCTTTTATAGCTGTGCTGAGTCAATCATTTTGTGGTGCTGAATGTGATCACTTTCAGTCAGTTCAGTTCAATTATGACCTAGCATAACTGAACTGACCTATAACTGTGATCTTACTCAAATGTGGCTCCACAAAGTATTAACTCAGAGCACTGAACACGAATGGATGTCACACTTTCTCGATTTGTATTCGTAAGTAGTTAAAAAGTTCCACTTCACTGTCATACATCGCTTTGTGGTGGTCTATCATATAAAAATTAATGTCAAATGTCAAAAAGTACAAGGGTGTTAATTCTTTTACAAGGTATGACAGATTTATTCAATCTAAATGGAGAAAGAGAAATTATTTCTGGCATTCTGACTTCGTTCAATGTCTTCTGTCAGGGTCATTGGTGTGTGGTTTTCTTCCTTACCCGACACCATGTAGCTGACCGTTTGGCACTCTCCGTCTTCTGTAACGACGGGAAAGCCGGGCAAGATGGTGATGCTCACCATGTCTGCAAGCAGAACATTTGCGACTCTCCTTCGGAAATCATATCTGGATATAAACATAAATAAATAACTTTTAGTATTGTGAGAACAAATAATTCAGACCAAAAAAAAAACAATTTTCTGAACTGTTCAGTTCTTCTCAAAACTGAACCAAAAACATAGCAAAGGTTTAACCCATAAATGTGTGTGACACCGATTATTTTTGTTTCCAGATTACGACTTTCTGTTTGCAATAAAAACATTAATAAAGCCGTATATTGCGCAATGTTTATCTCTGCGTACTTCCTGGCTTGACTTGGTTCTTGTCGGCCATTAGACATGACTGACAGCAAGACGTGCAAACAAATCAATAACAAGGCTGTGTGAAGAACAAGAACAAGAGATGCAAACTGAAAATCAAGGCAATAACAAAATCTTCCAAACGATGCAATTTAGGAATAAGGTACAACACTCGTTAAATCCTTGTTAAACTTATAGCTAACCTTAATATTTACAACCAGATGTCCCCCATATCTAGAATGTTCCAAATGAATTTAAATAGACAGAATGAGTGTTTTTAGAAATAATCCTGTTTTTACCAGGTGAATCCTGAGAGAAATCAGGATAGTTTGTTACTCACCGGCTAAAGGAGCTCACTTTGGGAAAGATCTGCTCTGCTAGCTGGGATTCTGGGAGGATGTCGGCACACGCAAGGATGCTGTTACCACTCTTCAACACAAAAGACCTGTAGACAACTTGGATCAAATATAGAATATCAAGTCAGACATTTTTGGGGATTCAACAAAAATGATTAAGATTTACTACACTATAAAGCAAAGCATTATGTTTAATAAAAGATTTCAAATGAACATAACTCAATTGTCATTTGTGCAACTGATGTCAGTGTTGGGGGAGGGAGGAGCTCTGATGACACCATGTTTCTTTAATGTCTGTATGTTAACAAACATAGTGCTGCTGTTGGTGATGTAGGCCGTAAAAAATTTTTGCTGAAAGTAACATTTCAGAATATTGTTTATCATGGAAAAGTCTTGATCAAATAGCTTATTTGCATATATCTTATAATGTCAAGACGTCTTTGAAATTTAGTTTAAGTCAAACTAAGGAAAATTCGTCAAGTGATGCTTTATTAAGTTATGCTCACTGAAATTGCACAAGTTAATGTAATTATCAATTTATTTGAGTGGTGTAAACTTAAAATGTACAGCTTTCACATAAAACATGAATTTATGAAAGCAAAGTTTGTTTTTTTTGAGGCAATGAGTTTGCAACATTTTGTATGTAAAGTCCACTCACTGCTTTTGACAGAGTGGAAGATGACATGGTGAATGGCACAAACGGATGGTTGCACGTAAAACTGAAAACCATCTTTGATGCTTAAGTCGTTGACATTTCCCCACATCTACAGACCCTCATTTCCAGTCGTCTCACCTGTGTGGTCTCCTGACAGCTGGATGTTGCTGTCAGAGTAAACTTCTCTCCTTCTCAGGCTGACTCTGCCATGCCTTGTAGAAATTTCCCCCACCACACAGCTCAACTGGTTTTGTAGCGAACAGCTGGAGCTCTGGAAGAGGAAAAGAAATCACACACACACACACAAAGAGTCAAACTATATGGGGTTAGACAGTGAGTACCTGTTATATGAGATTAATCACCATTTTATCAAGGCTGTTAAAGAACTTCCAGAAGTAATTGTTTCCACAGTCTACTGTAAGTAATTTTTCTATTTGCATATCTTCTGCAGTGGTGTTTTTGTTCCATAGTGGTTTTAAATTCTGTGGAAAAAAAAAACAAAAAAAAAACTGTGTCCTTTTAACTGAAGTATTTATAACAAGTAAGCTAACAACATCCTAAGTATGTGGCCACTTTCCGGCATGCTCTTCTCCTAGTTTGCTGCTGTTTCTTTTATGAAAAAGTGTTCCTCAAATTATCCTCAGATTATCTCTGAATGTATTTACATATGATGACGTGTCCCCAACAGCCTGCCTCACCTGTGGTTTCATGTTGAAGGGGTTGAAAGTGTGTCCCACGCTGGTGCACAGGCCGCTGGTGGTATCCACACGGTTGCTTGCGATAAACAGGGAGGCCTCAGGAATCTGTAAGCATATTTAAAATACAAACTATGTTTCCGCTGCCTTTATTTGTCGCAATGATGGACATAAGTGCAAATACACACATGAATAGGAATAGCAAACAGACAACTGGATTCTCTGATCAATATCAATAAACTTGTTCTACGATAAGAATATAAAGTGACAACACAAACTAGACATTTTCTTTGCGTTATGTTAATTTATAGCATGAATGTGCTTTTTTTATGTTTGAAATTTACTTTGATTTTTAAGGAGGAACTCAAGACTCCACACTTGTTCATTTGGGATCCTTGACCGGCGGTGGCTAACATTGTAATGTTTTGCATTATTTAACCCTATTACCCTTTACTTACACTTTGACTTGCAGGTGACTTAAGGTCCACATTCAGTGTGACATCACTGCTACTCCCATCAGGAAACACCTGCTGGCTCTTGAAGGGACAGAAACCAAAGGTGCCTGACATTAGTAGACGTACAGATTATTGTCAACTGAATAAAGTGATTTATACTGATGTGTGAATATCTGTTTTCTTTTTAGTAACTGCTGAGGCACTTCCCAAATTATTTGGCCAGACCAGAACAAGCTCATGTTGTTGTTTCCTCCTTTATAGCTCTGTGGAGGCTTAGGTGTAAAGCAAGACTCAGTGTGGAGCCTCTGGATGGCAGCTGACATAAACAGCTGATATCAGGGTGAGCCTCAGAGTTTAGTGCACATACATTCAGTTAACCAGCAGAAAGATGCTAAGCTAAGCTGAAACTTTTGCCTCTGCTTAGAGTTTAGATAAGGCCTAAAAAAATTCTATCTACCCCGAGCCCACAGGCATCGTGTCCGAGTCTGGTCAGACCCGACTAATGGTGTTAAGTGAGCAGTGTAACGTCTCTTGTTTTTTTTATTTAACATGTTTCAGCTCCATCGATGGAGCAGATCCAATGGAACATTTTATCGCTTGTTGTAACTGTCGTGCGAGTCAAGTGCAAATCATCTGGGATGTGTGATTGATAGGAGCTGAGCAGAGCGGAGCTGCATGCGCATTTATTGTGCAGTGTGCTGCGCTGTGTGTTGCGGACCGTCTACTCCCGACTTTCTTTCCTCAACAGGGTAAGCTGGCTACTCCTATATTTAGACCAGGGGTCCACAAACTTTTTCCTGTGAGGGCCACATAACTTTTCCCTTCTCTGGTGGAGGGCCGGAGTCAGTTTGCAACAGAAAAAGTGTGATGATTGCAGGAGTGCCTAAATGTAAAAATTTATTGTTTCCCAGAAAGCACAATCAAATAACCCTCTCTGGGTTCTTCACAGAAAAAATCCAGGAAATAACACTATTTATGAAATAAATACCGTATTTTCCGGACTGTAAGCCACACCGGGCTATAAGCCGCAGATATCTCTGCCGCTCAAGGTTTTCCACAGCGATGCAGCAGCAGAGGGGGACGGACACCCAAAATTTGAGTCATAACAGGTCAATTGAATATCACATTTATTACGGTTGAAAAAGAAAGAAAAAGTTGCCAAGTTTAGATTTAACTGAACTGATTACGGTAGTTTCCGAATGGTAACTTTAACAGTAAAAGTGCTGATCCTTCGTGTCTGCTAATACCATGTGCTAAATGAAAATGGGCGCTTTCTTCTTCTTCTTTAGATTTCAACAGCAGCTTGCATCCATTATTGTTGCACTACTGCCATCTACTGGATCCTAATATCTATACCTCAAATTCTCATAATGATCCCAGTATTATTTAAAAAAACAAAAAAATCTTCTTTTTCCCCTCAATGCTATTTAACTGATCAAAATTCTCAAATTTCAATTCCCTATTAAAACCTAATTCCGTTTTAATTGGCGCTTTCTTCTTTGATTTCCAATTTTGACTTCCAATGATTCACTTCCTGCTAAAGAGCCCCCTGGTGGTTGAAGAAAAATCCACATGTAAGCGGCTTATAGTCCGGAAAATATGGTATACGAAAAAAAATCTAAATGCTCTCTGGTATTGTTCAGGGGGCCGGACCAAATGTGGAGGCGGGCCCACGGGGCCTTAGTTTGGGGACTACTGATTTAGACTATCAAAATCAGAATAACACAGCTTTATGGAACACATTCTCATTTGGTTTTCTCTGTACTGTACATATTGCAGATTTATCAAATGCGCCACAGAAAGCCAACACCACACGACGCAACCCGATCATCAATTCTGGCCCTGTCTGGCTCAAATTTCGAGGTCAGGTTTGGGCTTGAGCCATAATTCTAAACACTAGCACTGCTTCCCCCATTTCCTGTCTGTTTATTGCCTCTTTTGCTTCAAGCACTCTTTTATCATCTGTTAACATCTTCCCAATACTATTTAATGGAAATTTTGCTTACTGTGAATCTAAATGCACTGCATATTTTGGATGTGTCTCTGCTCCAGCACACCAGATTCGAAGGATTTGTATGACCTCCTCTTTGGCCACCAAAAGCTCCAGAAGCATCCCTTCATTTAAGTCAGGTGTTTGGAAACAAGGAAACACCTAAAACAGTGGACAGGGGTGCCTGCAGGGTATTATCGGAGGGTATTAAAGATCTGTTGTTGCTTTATCGACCTTCCAGACCCCTCAGGTCTTCTGGATTTGGATTGCTCTGCTTCGCCAGAACCAGAACCAAATGAGGAGAAGCAGCATTCAGCTTCTATACACCACAAATTTGGAACAAACTTCCAGAAAACCGTAAAACAGCTGAAACACTGAGTGCCTTTAAATCTCGACTTAAAACCCACCTGTCTAGACTTGCTTATGGAACATAACAATTGGGATTTGAATTCCAACCCGGTTTCAAGCACTAGGGAGAAAATGGTATATGAAAAGGGGTGCATGTTTAGAGTCCCCCCCGCAAAAGGGTGCAAGTTGGTGTCCCCCCTATTGCTGAAAAGGGGTGCAGGTTGGAGTCCCCCCGTTGTTGGAAAGGGGTGCGGGTTTAGAGTCCCCCCTGTTGTTTGAAAAGGGGTGCGGGTTGGAGTCCCCCCTGCCCCTCCCCCGCTGTTCTATTTTTTTTCTCTGCCGATTCGAAGGACAGAACTTCGACTCGGCAGGAAATGTAATGTTTTTGTTTATTCAATGTTCAACTTGAATAAACAGTGAGTGTTTTGAGCAAAGCACTTTGAAATGCCTTGGTGCTGAAATGTGCTATACAAATAAAATTTGATTGATTGATACAATACTATCACTGCACCAGACCCACAAGAGCACAACCACATCTCCAACAGTAATGTGTGTGTGTGTGTGTGTGTTATATTCTGTGTGTGTCACACAGAATATTACTGTGTGACACACCCATTACTGTGTGGGTACAATAATGTGACACTCTGGTGTCACATTACCCACTGTGACACGCATAGTGGATAATGTGGGTGTCACAAAAAACCAGCACAAACCTAAACCATACAAACATAACATTTAATTTCCCTTTGGGATCAATAAAGTCCTTTTGGATTTGAATTTGATTTGCTTAGCCCAGTGGTGCCCAAAGTCGGCCCATCATCTTTTTTTCATTCAAGTTCCCTAGTTTAACACACCTGGATCAAATAATGGCTCATTAGAAGGCCTAAGACATGCTGAAGAGCTTGTTACTACCACCAGGGAGAGAACTAAAACATGCAGGATGCTGGCCCTCGAGAACCGACTTTAGGCACCACTGGCTTAGCCTGTGGTTCTCAAACCAAAGACAATACAGAATTGTATGAAATCAGACAATTTTGGCATCCCGCAGCAGACAAGGAGCAGATCAGATTAAGGTAATTATGTGTTTTTTACCAGTGTGATTGTCCCAGTCACTGTTAGATCGAATGTAGCCTTGGCAAGTGTCCAATATCCATCGTTATTTGGGCCAGGTAAGATATTTGCACACATCATTCTGTAGAGAAAACACAGATGGCTTCATGAAATAGTCTTGAAATAACCAAGTCCAGTAGCTTCAATCTTGTTGGGTTATTTCTGTTATATTCTGGTTAGTAATCTTCTCTAAAAGAGGAACATACAGTATCTTAGTATTGTAACACAAAACACCCATGATTAAAAGATCATGGCTTGAGGATTCACACAGGTACCCTCAATGGATTGGGATGATATGATACTATGGCCAGATTAGGGTGCATCTTGGATTTCTTTTTCATCTGTAAAGGCATCAGTGTGTTTTAATTTTACACCTTCCTGACACTTTTTATGGCCTTTTTCATTTTATTAAATGTTTTCAGGAGGATAAGTACTTCCTGTTCTTTGGCAGAACTTTGAACCATTGATCTTTTGCACAAGGAATTTGTGGTTAGAGTGAAAATGCTACTACCCAGTTCTTTTTAAGAAGAAGGAACCTGTGGTAATACTCGGCAAAACATTTCATAACTTCTACCTTTCTGTTTCCTTATTATCAAACTTGGATGCTTGTTGGTTCTTACCGTGATCCATCGGTGTAGTGGACTACGACAGATCTTCCCATGATGCTGTAAGGTCCAGTAAGCGGCATGTTAGGGTCCATGTACATAGCGTCAAAGTTATTCTGGCCAGTAAGCATCCCAAACTTCCCACTGATGTCCCCTATCTCATATTGGTCCACGGTGCCCACACCCGGTGAGGGAGAACTAGATGTGTTCCAGGCCAGTGGGTTAAAGTGGCCAAGGATGTCTGTATCTGAGCAAGGATCACTGCTGCCAACAATAATGGGCAAGATGTGGACGTGGTAGCCTCCAGCTAAGGACTGCAGGTTTTTTAAGGACACAGTGATTTCTGTAGGGCCTTGAGGGACAGCTTGGGAGAATTTCACCTGGCCACCAGATGATACAGGGCCAAACCATTTCCCTAACCTGGCTGTAGGGACCTGGACCTCAGTAACATTGGCACAAGCGATCCTCGGGCCTCCCCTTTCTGCTTCATGGATGACCACAGAACGACCAGTAATGCCAGATATGTCTAACCACGAAGTGACGTCAGTGAAAAAGTGTTTGGATTTGACGCCACCTATGTCGGTGTCAAGATTAATGGTGGTATATTTGTTGGCGAGGTCGCCGGCCTCACAACATAGGGGGCAGGATGGTTTGCAGTGAAGGGCATAGCTGCTATCAGTTGTGCTGATCTTAAAAGGATTCCAGTGGCCTCCTGTTGTGATACACCTCCCTTCGTCATCATCCCTCTCTGAGCTAATGGGGAATTCATGAACGTGCCAGTTATGGTGTTGAGTCATTATTGTTGTGGGATCTCCGTACGACAGATCCATAAAGATGGACACATCTGACAAGGGATTGTTCACCAACTGAGTAAAGATAATCTTTCCCACCACAGGGGTCTGAAACGTGGCACTGGCTACTGTCACTGCACCAGGATAACCAATGCTAGCACACGCGTACCTTTCACCATTGACCAGGTGAATCACAACTGAGCGACCTACAACGCTGTTCTGTCCAAACAGAGGAAGGCTGAAGTCAGTAAATGTCATTTGAAATGTACTTCTACCAGAAAGAGACATGTGTTTGCCACCCAGGTCACCTGTCTCATACTTGTCATGAGTTGATCCTGGCCCTACAGGGTATGTTTCAGAAGTTGTGTCAACAGCAAACGGATTATAGTGTCCACCCACATTATCATTTGAGCATTGGCCTGACCTGACTGAAGGGACAGGAAAATTGTGGACGTGGTAGGGGCCAACTAATTCCCTTAAGTTTGCCAGATTCACACTAAGCTGTGTCACGTCAAACGGTGAAGCCTGACGGAAGTTGAAATATCCACTGATTCCTCTCATGTTCATGACAGCTCTCACTTCTTTCTCTAGCATGTTGTATACCTGAGCACAATTGTAACTGGACCCCACCCTGAGGAGAAGATACGAGTACAGTCTAAAGCTACTAAAATCCAGACGGGATTTCTGAGGACTCAAAGGGTTTCCGACTTTCACACTTCCCAGATTTGTTAAAGATGCTTCATCTAAACTATCAAGCAGTATGGTACAATTAGCTGCTGTACTTGTGGATCCAAAGATGTTGATGCTGATTTCTGGGGCATTCACCTGACCAATAGTCACGAGGTCAGCAAGAAGCCTAGGGTTGGCATTATTTACATTAGCACGTATGTAAATGTTACCAGCAACAGACTCTGTGAATCTTGCCTGGCGAGTCAGTCGTGTCTGACCTTGACTTACAACTGTGCATATTTTAATGCCGTCACATGTCTCCAAAGACAGTGAGAGGTCATCCAAGTTTGATATTTGTCCAAAGAGAAGTGACACATTGATGGGAGAGGCGGAGGAAGGATCGCCAGTGAAGGTGAAGACGCTTACACCAATGTTTGCCTCAGAGCAGGGCTCAGCGAAGTGGCCGTACATGACGGGGAACACAGTGAGGGAAATGTTTACTGCAGAGCAGGATCCTGCACCTGACACGTTTAAGGTGGCTGTCTGGTTGTTGGAGTCAAACTGCACTTGGCCTGTGACTCCTCCCATGTTTAAAGGTGCTAAAAATGTGGCACAGGAAATGAAATCTGAAAAAGACAAGATAAGGAGGAGATCTATTGTTAACAACCATTATCTAACTCTTTGAGTCTTACTGTTGCTTCATTTTTAACAGGTACCTCTTCAATATGTGCTTAGTCAGTTTTCTAATAGAGTTATGGGATCCATTGTTAGTAATAAACAACGAATGAAATCCACCGGTTTCTTTTGTCAAACTGTTTTAACATGATTAAAAATGTTCAAAATTCCCTAAAAGCTTTAAAATAATTAAAATAATGATAAAATAATTTCACGTTTTCAGTATCCATCCAGAGAGAACTTAAAGTTTCTTCATATGCCTTGCAACAAACTGAGGGTTGGATTTCAACTACTGTCTGCAATATAATTTGTTTTTCTAAGACATACTGAAAGTTTGTGGCTAAAACTGAAACTATGTGAATACAGTTCCTACATTCAACAGCATAATGTGAGTGTAGGCTTAAAACACTAACTTAAGAACATTTACTCTTTAGACATATGCCAAGGGGAAAAAAAACTCTTCACATAACTGTCCAAATGAAAATACTCATTTAGCTAACTGTATCTTTTTGCTGAATTTAAATGAACCCATTTAAATTTAATGGAATCCATTTCAAGTGGGATTTATAACCAACAGCTTCAATGATCTGGCAGATATAGAAACAAAGCTTTTGGTTTCATCCTAATCTTATCTGAAGCTGTACAAAGTAAAACAGTGGGGTCCGATTTCAGACCGGGGAGGGTCAAGTTCTGTATGCATTAGAGGTTTTCCTGCTTCAACGCACCTGAATTCCCTCCAAAGCATTTTGTCAAGTTCTGCTGAGGCCTGATAAGGACCCATTCATTTAAATCAGGGATGTGGAACCAGGGGAACATCCAAAATATTCAGAATATTGACTCTTCTGGATCAAAATTTCACTTGATAATTCACCATTATACACTAACTAAAACACATTCGTTTCATTTAGGACGGCATGCTGAGAAAATATGCTTTCACGGCAATGTCGATATAACATAGGCCACCGAAAAATTTTGTATGGGATGGAGAAATAATAATAGTTTTTTAAAAAAAATCAAGTGTGAGTCAGGATGTTGTCTTTATTCTAAATCCAGTTTCATTTGCTGTTTACAAAAGCCCTGTTTTTTTTTTTAGTAAATAAAATCAACACACTTAGACATAAAAAAAACGCATTTTTTTATTCAGTATGATGTCATTGCTGGTTTAGAGTGGGCTCACACACTGGTATCATAACCTCACTCCTGTCTCCACTCCCAAACATTCAAACACATCACTCAGGAAAAAGGAAAAAAGAAAAAGTTATTAACTTGTGAAATCCAAGTTCCTATCTCTAGTAAAGACGATACCTCACTAATGTTTTCTCTTATTGGTTTCAGGATGAAGCACAGAGATGAAGTTGTTTGCAACATGACAGATGGGCTCCTTTGTTAATTCTTCAGTTTCTCTTCTGCATAACATGTAGAAGCCACATTTTAAACATTGTGTCCACAATGTGACCCAGATAGTTTTGTCATTTGATATCTAGGTGAGGGATCCTTTTCATTGATGCGGAAGAAGAAGGAGTTAGCAATTTAGACAGTTTCCCTGTGGCATCAAGTTGAGCTGCATTATCACAGCAGCAAGTTTTCATCCTGAAAACTGAGGGGATGATGCAACAAATGCACGGCTCTCAGAAAAAAGTTAAACATTACAAAATACTCATTCACAGTTTTGAACCAAAAGTCTCCGGACACGTGCCGCCGAGTGATAAGCAACCAAAATATAAAAAAAACGTCTCTCAGTAAATAACAGTTGTGAAATCCTCTGCATAAACCCATGATTTAAAACAGTTCAGGGTGTCTTAATTACTGCTATGACTCGCTTTCAAAAGACAAAAAAAAGAAAAGGAAAAAAAAGAAATTACTCACCCAGTGCAGCAAACAGCAGGGCCGCTCTGAAAAGGCACATTTTGGCAGAGAAGTTACAAGCCGAATCAAAACCTCTGTGCAGACATGTGAGCTGGGATGTTCAAGGTGAGGAAAATGATGCAGAATCTGTGCGTGTGTCTCTATAAAAGCACATCAACTGTGGCTGTACTGTGCAGCCTCCCCTTTGCTTTTTTTCTTATTTTTATTTTTTTTTATCTGGGACAGCCTGTGATTGGCCTGCATGGTAAAATGCCTCCTGAGGGGAGGGAGGAGGAGGAAACCGGCGGAGATGGCATACATCTGCTTTGGTTAAAAATAGAGGTGGAGGAGGGAAAAAAATACAGCTGAATGAGTTGAAGGTTTCCCCCTGAGAGATTCATGCTTTAAAATGTAATAATAATAAAAAAAGGCATTCAGTTTACTCAAGGTTTGTCTTAATGTCATGTTTATTTTTTTATTTTATTTTATTTATTTATTTTTGTATTTTAAAAGCAAAGTTAAAAGAAGAACAGAAAAGGAAGCTGGTTTCAAACTTGAGGTACAGTTTTGAAATTTGCGTGAGAAGCTGCCGAAAAATAAAATCCCACGTCCGCATTTGAGTATGGTCGAAAACATCGGGGTTTGTTCTGAGCATATATGAAATTAAAAGCGAAGTAGAGAGGATTCTTCAACAATTTGTACCCGGCTAGCACTGAATGTTCGGAGGACGTCCGCTGACGTTTGATCGACGTCCAAATGAAACGTCACTAGACGTCCGGAGGACTTTGAGTTGAACGTCCGCCGGACGTTCGTGAGGACGTTTTCCGGACTCAAAATTGACCAAAATTAGACAACTTTCAGCAGACTTTCGCATTTTATTCGAAATATGGTTCTGGAAATATAGCAGCAACTTTCATTTCTAATGCAAGGTTTTGATGTGGAACAGTTGTGTTCCATTTCCTAGGGATATTAATCCAATCTTGTGACAAATTGAAAAATGTATTACAAAAACTTAACGGTTTGCAAAGGATTTGTTAATTTACAGACTTAACGGTGAAGACTACCAAGACAAAATATAACACAGGAGCACTTTTTTTTTTTAAGTTAAGTGGTACAGCATCAATTTGGTTTTCAGAAGACAGTATTTTCAAAATCAACCATTGCTTAAAAATATCATTTAAAAATGTAATTTAAAAAAAGATATTTACACTGTTGATACATGCACAATCCTCTCTCCCTCAAAAAAAAAAAAAAAAACAAGCAAAAAAAAAAAAGCCTTGACTATTCTTAAAATTGTTGTGTTCCCACTGGTGTGAATGTAAATGTATGTAAATGTGATGGTGCCATTGGGGCTCCAAGTCCCCTTGGTTTTGTTTATCTTCCCCTATTTTTCCTAAGATGTGTTATGTATGCAAGTGGAACTTGGTGTTGGTCCCTATGCCTCTTCCTATCCCTCTCATTTATAAGTGTTTACATTTGGGCCACCATGGGTCACCCCAAATGGGTTATCAATCACCAAAAGAAATATTTGTTTTACAAAGCCTTGTCCTCCTCATTGGCATGGTCATTTCCCAAAGCTGCTGTGGTAGCACCATAGTCTTTCCGATTCCTTGAGTCCTTCAGCCAGTCAATTTTGAGGATGAAAAGTACACAGACTTATACTTAATAAATATTACAGTCAGCAACTGCTTGTGAGCAGACAAACTTCTCTTCCCCTTTTGCCCCAGGAAGCTGTACTGAGACTGTTCAAGATGATTTTAGGAAATATGTTGTAAACTTTAGCTCTCAAGTCTTTCCCTCCAATTACAGCCAAGGCATTTACCTTAAAAAGTAACACAAAGAACTTAAGTCAATGTTTACACACTCGACAGAAGAATACTGTGAAGAGAAAGACTAATTAATTTTTTTTTAAGTATTATACATACAAAAAGTTTTTCTAACAGCGCCTGACTCCAGCTGTTTGTTCAGGGCTTCCAACTCCTCTGGAGCAGAGGCTGGAAGGCATGGTTCCACATCCTCAAAAAGGATGTGGAACCATTCAGAGTCATCCAGTGACTCTGAATCTTCAGCAGAAGAAGTGGGAGCCATTCTAGTGAGAATTGCTTGCAACAGTCTCCGGTTTTCCAAAACCATCAGCTTCAGATCCTCGCAGGCTTTGGTAGTCATCTGAAAAATAATAATATTTACAGACAAACATATATATTCAGCAAAGTAACCATGTGTTGGGATTACTCAATTTAATGCAGGGAAACACCCATAGGGTGCGTTCACACTGCCAGTAAATGCGACCTGTATGCGTTCTGCAGTGTAAACGGGCAAACGACCTGAAAGTGTCCCGCATGCGCAGTAGAGGGCGCAATAGCGTCAGCGTTCTGAGTGTTCTGCCAACCACCATAAAAAGAAGAAGTGCTCAGTGTTTGCGGAAGTAAATATGGAGGCTAACGGTGAAGCTTAGCTTAAATATTTGAAGTTGTTGTCCGGCTGGAGCAGCATATTAACAACTTAATCCTCATATAATCCGTTATGGTTGTTGTTTTTCTTCCCTCTTGCGCTTATCAGGACGCAGAATAGTGAGATTTGTTGAGAAATAGTGACGTTCAGTTCGGATGAAGGCGGCCTGGACGTTAGGTCGCATTTGAATCAGATACGTATCGGATATGGGTCACATTTGAAAAAGAATCCGACCTGTGCTGTTCATACTGCCAAGAAAAGATCGGATACAGGTTGTATTACGTCAAAAAAAATCGGAATTGAGTCACTTCAGGCTGCAGTGTGAACCACCCTATGACATACAAGACACTTGATCCCTCAGTTGCATATAATTTTGTCTCGTTCATACTGTCATATTATTAACCAATAAAATCCAAAACTGCCTTGTGTCTACAAATAAATAACTAAAATATGACTATACACACACTCAAAATGTGCTCACTTTATGTGTAACATGTTAGTAATTTAACTGTTAGAGGAATCTCTTCAGAATAAACCAGAGTACGCCTGTGAAAAAGAAAAGAAAAATCATAAACTTCAACATGATTTTTTTTTTCTATTAAAGCAAGTTGGGTGCCTTAATACTTGACTACCTACATTTTTGAGTGGCTTATAATACTGTAGATAATACAAATGTTTTCTAAAACAACATACATTGAAACAACACAAAGCAGCCCAATTCAAGGATTAAAAAGGACTAAGAAAACTTTCTTTTTCTTTTCCTCCTGCCCTCCTATGCTTCTGTTTCCGCACTTGTAAGCAGGTGAAATAAAAGAGCAAATTAAGACAACACAAAAGACTGTTCAACACATCTATTTGTTCAATTTCTAACTCTGCTTACTGCCTGTGGACTCTTAGGATAATTTCTAAGCAAACATTTTATGGGCTCTGTCCTAACAGTACCATAGAGAAGGCTTTCTCTTCCCTATTTTATCATGATGTAGCACAAAGAAGTGCGTAAACATGAAGTGGCTCAAATAATATTTCAAAATTTTTGAAACTTAAAACCTGAAGATCCCAGTGTGACTCAGAATTTTGTAGGACCACCTTTCACTGCAGTGACAAATGCCAGGCTTTTCATTGATGTCTTTATCAGCATTAAACATCTACAGACTGAAATTTGCATTTCAATTTATTTATTTTTTTTTTTTGCGAAATAGTCCTCAGATCAGTCAGACTGAGTGGAGGGCACTCATTAAGACAGATTTTCAAGATTTACCCCGGATTCCTCGGTAGGATTAGCTCAGGCAGGTGGCTCAGTGAGCGTTCGCTGCTTCTCCAGCGAACGCTTGGACGTTCAGGTTGGACGTCCCTGTCTTTGTAAACTTATCTTTATTTATCTTAGCGGTTATCTTTCCATTTTCAGATGTTGGCTTTGGATGGTCAAAGTTTTTCATATTGTTTCATAACCATAACGGTAAACCTTTACACTGCTGACATGCCTGCTGTGATCTTTGTGACGCGGTTTATTCAGCGATGCTCTCCTTCTGTGGCGGGCAGAGAATGTGTTCTACATGTACGATACAAGTCTAATTTCACCTTTTAGTATTTGCAGCTCTGCGGTTTAGGGGTTATAATGAAATTGAGAACAATGTGACTGAAAGAGGAAGTGACATCCATGTTGGTGTACTAAGCCCAGGAGGAGACCCACAGTGCTGCGTGGATCAAAAGCATCTGAAGTCGTCAGTGATTCCCTCTCCTCTTTGACTAAAATGTGCTGGTTTTGCACCCAAACAGTCTTGAAGAAACAGACTGAATTCATTTCAGATGAGGGAAGCATTAAAAATCAAAACTGCTGATATAATTTCAGATTCATCTAATGCTATTAAATGTTTATTTTATTGCTATCTTTGCATTTTAAATAAGTAGTATTTATCCCATGTGGCCAAGTGTCCCTTGTGCAAGTCAATGACCAGAGAAGGGAGTGTTTCTGCGTCATGCACCAGATGCAGAAACAGTCTGCTAGAGAGATAAGAACCAGATAGTGGGTGGTTGTCTTCTCAGAAAGGGTTGTGTTGTTTGCTCTTACCAGGAAAACCAGTCCAAAGTTTTGGTCAACCCTAACTGACTGACGGACACAGAGATGAACAAAGCCTGGAAAACACCTTGGCTGTGAGCACAGTGATGAGTGTCCTCCTTCACTGATGCTCCCTTCCCAAGAATCAATATTAAAATATATAAAAGAAGAAAGAAAAAAGTTCTCACATGTTCCTATTTTCAGATGTTTATATGACAACATCCAGATGATTAGCATCTGCTTTAATAGTTTAAGATTTCAAAAGGCAAAGCTAAAAAAAAAAATAAAGTAAACTTTTTCTAAGATGGCTTCCATCTTTAGATAAAACTGTATTTTACTGGATCTTTTTGAGGATGTGGAACCATGCTTTCCTGTTTCAAACACAAATGTGTCAAGTGAAGTTAGACTGTCATCCATTAAGGACGTAGTTTCAGGCAACAATCACTGTTATTGAGTAAGTAAAAAAAATGTTTTCCGTCATATTTGGGATTTCTTATTATGAAACAATTGAAATTCCCCAAACATCAGAGGCTGAAGACTGTAGACTTTTGGCCTATGTTATACATGTGGAAGTAACTCTAAGTACATATTTCAGAAACAAGCAGCCAACGTTTGCCATGTTTCCACAGCTCAGGTTTTTGTTCCTGTTTTACTCACACATTCAGCAGCTTTCCTGTGACTAAGCATGTAAGGA